GCGTTAGCCTATGGACTGAAGAGTTCCGGGTTCGATTCCGATCATGCCAGGGTTGTGGACTCAAACCCCAGTGAGGGGTGTGCAGGAGGCAGCCGATCAGTGATTCTCTCTCTTCACTGATGTTTCTGTCTTTCTCTCCCTGTCCCTTCCTCTCTGAAATATTTTTTTTTTTAATTTTTTTTTAAAAAGAGAGAATCTGTGGTTTGATAGGGAGGAACCTTCTCCTTGGACCCCCTTTATCACTGGTAAGGTGGGTCAGTAGGCTGTGCTGGCTGTGCTCACAAACAGCCCACAGTGACGTGAGACTCAGGCTGGATGCCGGGGACATAGTCTGGATGCCGTGGTACAGAAGCCTGGCTGCCTCATGTGCTGGCCACACAGTGACCCAGCCTCCCTCACTCCTCCCAGAAGCCCAGGAGACCTTCCTTCTATCAGCAACACGGAGAGCTGGGGGCAGGGGAGCTGAGGGACACGCTGCTGGCCTGCCGCTCAGCCTGGCTAGAGGGTGGGCCTGGGGTGCAGTGACTTACATTGGGGTCCATCTTGCTAATGGCGTCTTGGAGCATCTGCACGTCCTTCACGTCAAAGCATTTCTGGAGTTCCTGCGGGGGCAGAGGGGCTGAGGTCAGGGCTTGGTCCCTGGGACTCCCGAGTCCTGCTGGCTACCTGCCTGCTGCCCGCCCGCCTGCCCGGGGCTGGGGCTGGGGCTGGGGCTGCGGCTGCGCACCTCAGGGAGAGACTCGTAGACTTCCACGGGGTCCAGGCCGCCAGGGCCCAGCCGCTTCTTGCGCTCCTCCTCCTCGTACTCCTTCATGGCCTTCTCGATGCGCAGCTTGGCGCGGCCCCGCACGCGCTCCTTGAACGCCTCCAGCTCGTCGTTGAAGCCCTCCATGTACTGGTGGTCGGCCGTCTGTGGGGAGCAGGAGGCAAGAGGGGTTCCCAGGCCGCACCGAGGGACCCAAGACCCGCCTGCCGTCAGTCCTCAGGGACACCCTGGGGCTTGAGCCTCTTCTCTGTTCCATCTAGCCTCCGCCTCTACGCTCAGCCGTTACCACCTACACAGGCATACCTCGAAGGTACTGCGGATCGTTCCAGACCACCGCGATGAAGCAAACATCGCAATAAGGCAAGTCACATGAATACCTGGTTCCTCGGTGCATATAAAAGTTATGTTTACAATATACCGTAGACTAAGTATGCAATAGCATTATGTCTAAAAAAATGTACATACCTTAATTAAAAGATACTTTATTGCTAAAAAATGCTAACCATCATCTGAGCCTTCAGCGAGTCGTAATCTTTTTGCTGGTCTTGCCCTAGTAACATCAAAGATCACTTGATCACAGATCACCATAATGAATATAGTAATAACGAAAAGTCTGAAAAACTGGGGATATTACCAAAACGTGACCCAGAGACATGAAAAATGGTGCCGGTAGACTTTAGCGCAGGGTTGCCAAAAGCCTTCAATTTATAAAAACACACAACACCTGCGAAGTTCACTAAGGTGACGTGCAATGAAACAAAGTGTGCCTGTATGCTGGTGACCACCTGCCTGCTGCCCCCTGCACCACTGACCCCCACAGCCATTCCTGGGTGTCCTCCTGCGGGGGTTTTCGTCGACACCTCACACTCAGCACAGCCACTGGATCACGCGTCCCCGCCCCCACCTGCCTGGCCCTCAATCTCCCAGCTCAGCGCATGGAGCTCTTCTCTTCCAGATGCTCAGGGGAAGAAACCTGGAGGTGTCCTTGACGCTGTCCCTCACCCTCTTTCAAAATCTGTCTGGAAGCCAACAAATTCTCACCTCCTGCATGGTTCCGCCCTCTCCTGATGTTTAAGGTTCTCATCATCGAGGCCTGGGCCCCAGTGGACATGGGTCTGCCTCCCACTAACGACCGCAGGCTGGTTCCCTGAGGACCACCCCCCCTCGCCTCAGCTGCTCAGGGCCCCCACCTTGATCTTCGTGAAGAACTGCCGGAAGCAGGCCCGGGGGTCCACCTTCAGGCTCTTGGCCAGCTCCAGGATGAACTGCATGACAATGGTCTGGTGCGCCACCTGCTCCATGAGGGCACATTTCTGCCAAGGAGGACAGCACCGTGTCACCGGGTGGCAGCCTCAGGGGAGAGCCTTCCCCAGCCCAGGGCATGCTCCACTCACCTCCTCCACCTCCAGGTCAATGCACCAGATGACCAGGTAGTTGGCTGTCTCCTCGCACACCAGGTGGGCGTTGTCTGACAGGTACTTCTGACTGTCATCCCAGCGGTGGAGCATGCCTACGGCAAGGTGTTGACAGGGTGCTGGAAGGACCTAGAGGCAGAGCCAGCCCCCGTCACCCACAACCCCCTCAGGCCCTGGTGGAGCTCCGCACCCAACTCACCAAAGTGCTTTATCTGTTTCTCATATTTCTCCACAAAGGTCTTGTGTTTCTGTTCTCTCACCTCTTCTGACTCCTCCTCCACCTGCTCTGGCTTGGTATTGACCATGCTCTGTGGTGGGGAGAGAGGGAGCGGGCTGGGGTGAGGTCTCGGAGTGCCTCGAACATGGCCGAGTGCGCCATGGCCTCAGTTCCCATCCCATCCACGGTGATGGGACCATGAACATCAATGTAGCCTCTGACTAGGGCATTCGGGCAGATCAGAAGGGGACCAGTGGGGTGCTTCATCCACTTGGCATCCCTGTTCCCCCCATTGTCCCCATACATCTCTCCCTTAACCTGTGCAGCCCTTACCACCCCCACAACCTTCCAATGGCCATGGAACCCAACCAGGGGTGCGAGTACCCCTCAGGCCCCTGCACACCTTGCTGAAGCCGTCTTTGCTGAGCGTGTCCACGTTCCAGGGCATGCTCTTCTCCTTCTTGCGCATCTCCTCCAGCTTCTGCTCCCAGCTCCGCTCCTCCTTGCGCAGCTGCTGAGCCTCGGCCTGCAGCCGCTCCAGCTCCGCCTTGCTGCTCTCGTCCTCAGCCACCTCTAGCTCCTTCAGCTTCCGCTGACACTCGAGCACCTTGCGCTTGCACTCGCGGCAGCTCCTGTCCAGCTCCTCCTTCTCCTTCTGGAACTGTTCCATGCGCTCCACCCGGGCCTGTGGGCAGGGATGACCCATCACTCTGGGAATGGCCTGCCCCTTGATCCTGACCCCTTAACCCTGGCCCCATCCCAGCCAAGGGCTTCCAGGATGTAGCTGGGATGGTCACAAGGAATGTCTGCACCGACACGTGTCCTGGGCGCCCAGCTTCCACCCTCACCCCCAGAGAGACCTACACACACTTGAGTCAGGACAGGTCCCCCCTCTGCTCAGAACTCCTCATGGCTCCCAGCTCACTCACAGCAGAAGCCCAAGTCCTCCCCTTAGTCCACAAGGCCCTGCACACTGTATTACCTCTGTGCCTTCCCCTCAACTCCCCTGCCCCACAGCCACACTGGCTGCCTCGGCCTTTCCTGAATGCACTCCAAACCTCAGAGCCTTCGCACTGGCTGTTCCCTCCGCCTGGAAGGCTCTGTGCCCGGAGCCCCCTCCCCTCGGCTTACTCTCTCGCATCCTTAGCATCTTGGCTCATGTGTTGCCTTACAGGTGAAGCCTTCCCCGAGCACCTCACTGAAGATCAGACCTCCCCTCACGCATCCTGCACCATCTTCCTCCTCAGCACACGTCACCTGCTAACGCCCAGTGACAACTATTTATGTTTCAGGCAGAGTCCCTCTCCAAGGACACTGGTTCCCCAGAAGGGGGGATACATCTGTTTACTGGGTCACACATACACTGGCACACGGCAGAGGCTCAGGAATTGCTCGCTGGATGAATCAAGACCCCCCACCCCCACCCTGGCTAGTGTGGCTCAGTGGATAGAGTGCCTGCCCAAAGAACAAAGGGTCTCAGGTTTGATTCCCAGTCAAAGCCATGTACCTGGGTTGCAGGTTCAATCCCTAGCCCTGATCCAGGGGTGTGAAGGAGACAACCTCTCTCTCTCTCTCTCTCTCTCTCGCTCTCGCTCTCGCTCTCTCTCTCCCCCCCCTTCTCCCTTCCACTCTCTCTAAAAAAATCAATGGAAAAAATATCCTTGGGTGAGGATTAACAATAAAATGAAATAAAATAAAGACATCCCTCACCAAGGTCATAGGCTCCCCTTCTTCCTCAGAGTCTTGCAACCCATCCTCTGTCCAGCAACCCTCTCAATCCACCTCTGCCTGGTGTCCCGTAGGCATCTCCAACTCCATGTCCAAAACCAAACCCATCATTTTACCCCCCAAAACCCAGACTCCTGCCCTGTCCCCCTCAATGAAGCCACCCCTACCCCACCTCCTGCCCCCTGTTGAGGCCTGCTCACTGATCCTGCCCTGCCCTGCCCTCCTGCTCTGGCACCAAGTCCTGACGGTTTTTCAGTATTAAATGACTCTCTAATTCACTCCACTGCGAGTCTTTGCGCCTGGATCACTGCCAAGGCCCCTTCAGCTGTCTCCGGACAGCATGCCCTCCTGAGCCCCAGCTTCGTGCCCAGTAGCTTCCTGGGTGTTTCACCCCAAATGTCCACTTCCACTGGGCCCTAAGCCTAGTGATGGTGCCCATGTCACAGCCCCCTCGCTCAGTCCCCCATTCAGACCCCTCTCCGATCACTTGGTCCTGTCTGCTTTCCAGCCCGCTGGGCTCCACCATCATCTTCCCTGGCTCCTGGCTGAGCCCATTCAATCCAGAGCCATTGGCAAAATCCTTCAACTGCTGCTCTCTCAAATTCAGGCTCAGAAGCTGACAGAGGAGTCTCTGGGCCATATACAGCTTTCCCCACTACTCCATCCTAGTGTGTGGGTTTAGATGGAACGTTCTGACCCTGCCCCAAGCTGCCGACTCTGGGTCCTGCCCTCCTCTCCCGACTCTGGGTCCAGGCAGATGTTGGCCCTCGTGGTTCCCGAATACACCAGCCTCTCCGCCTGTCAGCTCTGCACATGCTGTGCCTTCCACCTGGAATTCTCTGGCTTGGGTGGCAGCAGACACCTACCACCCTACTGGTCTCTGCTGGGCAGCCACCAAGCTCTGCCCGGTGTCCTTTGGGTGACCGCCAGGGAGGCCACAGCTAAATAAAGGCCTCCCAGGACTGGCAGGGTGGCTGCCTGCCAGGCCCGGCTTCCACCTCCAGGAGGGGCTGGGCAGGGCAGAAGCCATGGCAGTGGGCGGGGCTGCCCTCCCGCCTTCCCGAGGGGGAAACCAAGGCTCATGGAACCTCAATGTGGCACAACTCACTGGAAGGAGCCGCAGAAAACCAGTGGTGACGAGGGAGCCTCACCTGTCCCCTCTGGAATCGCTGGAAGTTTTTTTTTATCATGAGAGTGAATTACCTAAATAATAATGATGAAAGTAGTGGCTAAAGTTTAAAAAGAACTATTACATGCCAGGAGATGTCCCGAAAGCATTACATACATTACAGTAAGTAAATAAAGCAACCCTCATTACAACCCTATGGGGTGGACACTATTAATATTCCCAACTGGGGAAACTGAGGCACCGAGAGATCAAACACTTTGCTTGAGGCCATGCAACAAGTGATTCAGGAGCCAAGGTGTGAACCCAGGCAGGGAGTCTGTGTTCAGCAGCTCACAAGGCCACCATTCTACCCATCCCACCTCTCCTCCCGGGGCCTGAGCCCAGTTCTTTTCAGATCTGATCGCATTTCAGCGGACTGGGGTAGAACCCAGGCTTGCCTAGTGCAGGGGACACTGAGGCCCTCTGTCTCCACTGCTGCCTCAGGGCTCTTGTGGCAGGACAGGAAAAGGTTCTGTGGGAGGAGGGAGGGGGGAGGAGGGCGCGGCAGGAGGAAGCCGCTACAGGATAGAGGGTCCTCCCCCGCAGCGGGACCAAAGCGGTCTCCATGAAGCAGCGTAAATTAACCTCTTTAATTTAATAAACTTGTGCTCCCAAGTTAATTGTCTTCAGAGCTCTGTGGAGGTCTGAAATATTTCAAAACAGTAAGTGTTACACACAACAGGAAATGGACGTGCTGGAACTTTCTTACACTCTAGGACAGGGGTGGGGAACCTTTTTTCTGCCAAGGGCCATTTGGATATTTATAACAGCGGTCGAGGGGCACTCAAAATTATCAACTCAAAAATTAGCCGGCTATATTTGGTCAAACATTTAATTAACTCACCCTAATGCCTTGGCAGGGCCAGACCAAATGATTCCACAGACCTTACGTGGCCCACAGGCCTGGGGTTCCCCACCCCTGCTCTCCAGAGGCTGGCCCAGCAGACACACCACAAGAGACAGCTGCTTTAAGGAACGGGCTGGAAATGGGACTTGGGGCCAGATGTAGGAAAGAATAATGCCTTGGCAAGATGGAAAAGGGCCCTTCTAAGAGTTTCTGAATAAATGATTGGGAGTTGCCATAAGGGAGGGTGGGGTGAGGCATTCCTAACTGGAAGGTTCTGCGAGGTACACACCCTCAGTGTAAGAGTATAACAGGTACAGGCATGTGGATACAGCAGCTCTGATATGGGGGAGCAGGAGGTTAGAACATTAGGTTTTGTGCTTTTTTTAATGTTTTCATTGATTTCAGAGAGGAAGGGAGAGGGAGAGAGAGAAACATCAATGATGAGAGAGAATATGTCAGAGAGGAAGGGAGAGGGAAAGGGAGAGAGAGAAACATCAATGATGAGAGAGAATATGTCAGAGAGGAAGGGAGAGGGAAAGGGAGAGAGAGAAACATCAATGATGAGAGAGAATATGGATTGGCTGCCTCCTGCACGCTCCCCACTGAGGATTGACCAGGCATGTGCCCTTAACCAGAATCAAATCTGGGACCCTTCAGTCTGAAGGTCTATGCACTGAGCCAAAACAGCTGGGACTAGAACCCTAGGTCTTATGAGAGCCATTCTATTGGTCTGTGAGCATGGTTGGACAGGGAGAGAAGCAGGGGTACTCTCAAACTTGGGATTCTGGGATCTGGGTTTAAAAGGAAAATAGATAAAAGGGGCAGTAAATTTGGAATCAGGCTGGGAGAGGGTTCCTGATGAGAGTAGAGACAATCTGGGTGTCGGAGAGCAGCAGGCCAGGCTGGCGCTAGGAGGAAGGCAGAGTAGGTTTGGATGAGACGTTCCAATGCTGGTAGAGGTTCTTCTACAGGAAGCTGGTCTTGGGGTGTGGGTGGTGCCTGGGTCTCCAAAACCACGTAAGGAGCAGGGGCTCTGGCTGGGAGGGAAGCTGCAAAGGTAGGGTTTCCTGATGTCATGGGATATGGGGTCTACAGTAGGTGAGACTAAAGGAGAGCAGACAGAATTGGAGGCTCCACCAGGATAGAGCTGGTAATTCAGTCTGGAGGGGAACCGGGTTCCAAACCTCCAGTCTTAGATGGAACTGAGGACCCCAGTAGGGCAAAGGACTTAATGATGGGGAAAGGGTTTGGGTGTGGGTTGGCATCCAGGCCAGGAACAGAAATCCCAGGGGAAGCAGAGTTCCTTTTTCTATTTGGAGGACAGGGGTCTGTGGATCTGAATGAGAATCATCCTCAAACCCAGGAAATCATATCGCAGAATAAATTCATTCAAGAATTAGGGACTCTAGGAACTGGGGAGGGAAGAGGAGGGGCGAATGGGATATCCAAGCTCAGAAGTGGGTACCCGACTAGGATCAGGGTCCAGTCTCTGTGGCAGAGTTCTGGGTATAAGTCGAAGGTCCCAAACAGGACTAGGGGGCACCCCCAAAGCTTGTCTTGGGAGTCTAGACTCTGAGGAAGATGCCCTAGGGGTACCGGCAGTTCTGGGGTCACGGAGTTGAGCCCCGGAAGACATTAAAAGCCCAGTCTGTGCGGTGGGATCCCAGATGTCAATGGCGGGTCCCTGGAGGTAGAAGGGATCAGAACTCTGGAGCGCAGTCCCGGGAGGGGGGAAGGGGCTGGGCACGCGCGCTCTACCTGGTGCCGCCAGCGGAAGAGACTGGCCGTGTCGATGTTGGGGTGCGTCTCATCTTCATCGTCAGACACCTCGATGTGGTCCCACACGCTGTAGTCCACCATCTTGCGCCGTGGCCCAGCCGGCTCCGTTCCGAAGCGGTACTGGCGGTGGTGGCAGCGGCAGCGACAGCACTGGAACTTGGGCCCGCGGACCCCCGCCCCTTCCGGTTCCGGTCGGGCGCGTAAGCCCCACCCACGGGCGACGTCATATCCCTAGTAACTGCGGCGGCGGCGCTAGCGACGGAGCTGGTCTTAAAGGGATTTGAGCGCGTGTTCCGGCCTCGAGCCGACGCGGGGTTCCCGCTGGGCACGTCCGGGAGATATATCTGCAGGCGCCCCAACTTCGCGCCCTTCTCTTCTCCCGCTGCCTCACAGTGGGAATTTACGGCAGCCAAAGGTGGGGGGCAGTTGGTGAGACTGAGCGAAGGAATGATTCTCCCAGCCACGCCACAGTGACAGCCAGAACCCACTGCAGGGGCGGGGCCTCGGCGAGGAGACCTGGCCCCTACCCATTGTGAATCGGGGTGGGGTGTGATCTGAGGGAATTTCCCAAAATGAGGAATGCAGGACCTTGCCCTGGGAGGGTCTAAGTAGAGAGGAGGGATATGACCCTGCCCTGGGCTGGCCACAATGTGGCCCTGCTTTGGGGGCTGGTATTTTCCCGGTTCGGATCAGGGCCCCCTTGTCCCACTCCTGTCTCCTGCCGCTTAGGAGTGGGGACTCGCGAACACACCCGCACTAGAATCCCCCGCACCCCTCCCGCCCCCCACCCCACCGCGTGTCTGCCCAGCGGGTACGCGGCGGCCTATCCCTTTGCGGCCGCTGGGTGTCGCTAATGTCTGTCCAGCGGCCAGTGCCCCAGGCCCCACGCAGGGTGGGGATGGGGCGGGGGGATTGTGGAGGTGTGGATGGGGCTTCTGGTGGCGGTATCCAAGGGCTGCTGCTCTTAGCCTCTCCGCTTTCGCCTGGGGGCCCTCTTCCTCTGCCGAGCTCCAGGACTCCGTTACTCTGCGCTCGGGCGACCTCGGCCGCACACTTTCGTAAATCCCAGCCCAAGCTTTGAAACCGGGATGGAAGGTCCTGTTGCAGCCTAAGGCCAGGATTATCTCAGATAAAAGGGCCCTTCGTGGGCACCGGTGGGATGGGAGGAGCGCCAGCCCCCGGATCAACAGGACCTTCCCCCAGAGCTTTTGGTGCGTGGACGCTGGAGGAAGTGAAGTAAAGGGCTCCAGACTGGGGGGATTCCCCGGCCCGGGCGGGGGTGGGGCCATCCAGACCAAAGCTACCGCCCCTCCACCTCGCGCTCCATTCAGACTCGCGAGTGGGAGGGTGGGCGCGGGAGTCCCCTCTCCTCCCCCTCCCCCCTCTGCTGGGGCGTCCAGCCTCTCAGCGGCCGCCACCGTCTCCTAAATCCCTCTCTCTCTCTCTCTCTCTCACTCACACACACACACACACACACACACACACACACCAGCAAACAAAGGGTCTGGACATCCCCGTTTTCCTCCCTCCACCCCACCACCCGGCTGGAGAGGGCGGGCATCCCTTCCCCAGGCCCCTCTACAAGGTAAGCTTCCTGCTGCGCGCTGCGGCGGACAGGGCTGCTAGGCGACGATGATGGGGGCTTCCCCCGTTCCACGGGAAAGTCAGGGCCGCAGTATGCTGCCCTCTAGGGCTTCAGGCCTGCCTTGGGGCTGGAGGTGTGCGGGGAGGTCCCCAGACGCAGGGGATTCCCTGGTAGATGCGGGGATCTCTCCCTGGCTTCAGAGGCTGACTGGCCCCAGTCAAACAGGGTCCCAGGAGCCCCTGCTCATAGAATTGGGGAGCCGGCTCCGGAAGCTCCCCCCTCAGCGCCAAGCTGTTTCTGCCAACACAATATCCCCAGCTCTGGAGATAGTGTTTTGCACAGTCCTGTCCCCCTTTACCCTTCCTTCCTACCCCCTACCCCCTCCGTCAGCGCTTCCCTGGGGTCTGTGTCTTGTACTTGTGAGGGAAGATGGGGGAGTGGGGTGGTATTGGGAATGTTCCTCCGGGCTGTCCAAGTTTCCTTTGCTGCATCCCACAGCCTCACACGCTTAGCTGCATTGAGACCCACCAAATGGCTTGCCTTCCTGAGCCTCATTTTTCCCATCTACACAATGGGTAATGACACATCCAGGCATCCTGGCTAGGACATGAATGCAAGCCTGCTCCTGCCCCATCACTATCTGCTCATTTCACAGCTATTTTCCAAGTGCTTGCTATGTGCCAGGCGCTGCAATCAGGCTGCGGGGCTGTAGCCATGAGGCCAGCTGAGTCCCTGCTCTACTGATTCTTAGGACTGGTAAAGGGAGCAAGACCCTGTGTAAACAGGAAAACCCACCGTGGTTTCAGACTGTGAAGCCTAAAATTCCATCAGGCAGAGAGAGAGGTTGAGGTGGGGTGGTGCTGGAGACACATGAGATTTCCGGTTTGTATCTTCTTTCCTTTTTCACTTCAGCTCCCCGAATGAGGGCAGGGCCAGCTCCAGATCAGTGCTCAATAAATGTTGAATGAATTAAAGAGGAAATTAGATTAAGACTATTTCCATAACAATTCAGGTCAGGAAGGAGGGTTATCATGAACCTGTCCTTCCATCCTCCCGTTTTACAAAATGAGGTGAATAAAGTCCCTAAGACCCAGAGAAGGAAAAGATGTTGTCAAAGGTGATACAGGGATGTGATGAAGCGTCATCATTCCCATAAAAGCGAGGGTGGCTGAAGGAATGGTTGTCAATAGCTGAGAGTGGAAGAGAGA